GGAGACTCCTTACCCCAGCATACCCCAATGGAAGCTGCACCCCCAGTCAGTAGGAATGCCTTCTTGGCCCCCCAGTCACCCTATCTCTAGCCTTTAGTTTGCACTCCAGTGCACCTCCACTCTGTGTCCCAGTGCCCCAACCCAGCACTGAGGGCGTTACCTTTTCCTTTTGTCACCCTGCTACTCTAGAAGGAAGACAAAAGGAAACCAAAGCCCACAGGCAGGATAGGCCTCACCGAAGCTTCCGGCTGCTGAAAAAGAAAGTCCTAGTAAGATGTTTCTTTTCCTTCTCCCACCTGACTTATAAGTGTAGGTTTGTAGGAAATCCTCCTAGCAGATAAAAATCAAATTGTAAAACAACCATTGATTATGCTTACCACCCACTACATGGGTTGAGAACTGGGACAGGATAAAACGGATGGTTTGTCTGCTCTGCAGTGTCTGGGGCAACAGCTAGAAGACTTGAAGGTTGAAGGTGACTTGATAGCTAACGGCTGAAATCATCTGAAGGCTTGGTAACTCATACCTGGCAGTGGAAGAGGTTGTTGACTAGAGCCTTGGCTGGGGCTCTTGGTCAGAACACATATAACCTGCAATACCTCACTGCATGGCAGCCGGCTCCCAAGGGCAGCCGGCTCCCAAGGGCAGCATCCCAAGACAGCCAGGCAGAGCTGTACTGCCTTCCCTAACCTGGCTTTGGGAGTCACACCTGTCACATTCTGTTTGTCAAGGCAGTCACCTAGGCCTACCCCACCCAATCTCAAAGGGAAATCTACTTCACCTCTTGGTACGGGAGTAGCAGGATTCTGGAAATATGGCTGGTTTTTGGAACCACAATCTGGCACAGCTTAACAGATTTCTCTTTTCTTGGAACCAGCAGACACCTCCCAGGAAAGGAAAGATGCCCAATACTAGGCTCATCTTCCTGGGCTTTTTTCGTCTCCAATCCTCCCTTTTCCTCACTTCCTTTCAATGACTTTTTAAAAATGTTTTCTCCAGCTTTTCTCATTATTCCTAGTACACCCTGTGGAAGGGGGACCCTATGCGGTTTCATGAACACAATGAAAAGCCTATATCCCCAATGTAATATACAGCATATTTACTCGAGTCACAGGCAAACATTTAACATTGAACACATGAGGTTTTACACACACGTGAGAAGTAACAATGAAGACATACAAACTGATTACAATTTCATATAAAGTGAATCCATTTGGAGAAGTACTGGAATCGTTTGGGGGAGAGTTGTTTGAAAATTAAAGGCAGGCTTGTGTCCTTTTTTGTACAGTTAAACCCTGATTTTTCTCTCTGACATTTTATCATGAACACTATAAAGCATATGCTAAGTTGAAAGAATTTTACAGTGAATACCTGTACACCCACCATCTGGATTCTACCATTAACATTTTAACATATTTTTCATAACGTCTCTCTGTTATCAATTGCTATATCCATTTTACTAATCTGTCTTATTTTTAATGCATTTCAAAGTAAGTTGCAGTCATTAGTACACTTTTAAATATTTCAGAATGCATTTCATTAACCAGAGTTCATTATTTGCAGGGTTTTTTTCAGACAAAATCGATATATAAAATGCTCAGATCTTGTGTACATTTGCTGAGTTTTGACAACTGGATACACCTATAGTGGTATCTTAAAAACAACCAGGATTCCCCCCCCCCCCAATCCTTGACTGATCAATTGAAATGTGTATAAAATATCTCCTACCCTGAACAATTTGTACCACAGTCATGGGTGGGGCCAACTCTTGGCCAATGCATCAGGCTAGCATTGGGCCTGGGACCAGGACTTTAGGGCTGGGGCAGAGAATTTGGAAATATTTCTTCTAGTTTAGGATATTAATGGCAGCCCTGGAGTGAGAGGCAGAGCAAAGGCTCCTACAAACTACATTCTCATGGAGTCCGGGGTGGGGAGGCGGGTTGCAGTCTCTTTTAGGTAGTGCTGGCAAATGACCCTTGGGAGTAGAACAGTAGCCTGGAAAGGGATTTGGCTCTCATTTACTTCAACTGTCTATCTTACTGCTTTGCTTTACTTTCATTACAGCATTTAAGTTTTCTTGTTCACTTGTTTATTGTCTGTTGCCCCATCCAGAATATTTCATGAGAGCAGAGATCTTTTCTGTCTTATTCCCCTCGGTGTCCAGCACATGGTCTGCATTCAATAAGTATTTGTTGAGTAAATGACTCATTGTTCCATTTACTGCATGGGGAAAGGAGGCCCTGAGAGGGTGAGTGACTTTCTTCCAGAAAGAGGAGTTCTTTACCCCCATCCTCCAGATCTCCTTCTAGTCTAGTCCTTTTCTCATGACTCTTGTGACTTTGGGGGCATCTCTCTGTACGTATGTGCTCCTGTGAGGTAAGGCTAATCCAGGACTGGGGGGAAGGCTTTGGCCTCCCACTTGGGTGGGCCTGGATATAGGAAGCCTGCCTCCCCTTCTTATCTCTCTTCTTTACTTCTCCTTTCCTCTTTGAAGACAGCCCTTTGTCCTGTGGTAATGGGGGGAAACTGTGGACCTCCTGGGTATCAGCTGGGAAGGGGAGGTCAGGCAGGTGTCCACAGGTGGGCAGCTGAGGATGGGCCTCTGTCTTTTTCCAGTGGAAACAGGGTGTGTGTGGTTGCCAAACTGAATTCTCCTTCCCCGGGTCTCTAGAATGAGACACCCAAGACCCTACCTCTTCTTGGTCTGAGGTTCTGTCACCCCTGCACACACAAAAAATGTTTTTGACCACAGTGCTGCTGTCTCACAGAGAAAAGGAACTGCATTTACTGAGACAGGTTACTTGCCAAGCTGTACATGCCTGCAATTCTCAGTATGGGCCTGGGAGGTTCTAGGAAGAGTAGCAGAAAGAGGTTCAGGTCACCCAGCCAATGGAGAGGCTTGAACTTTTATTTATTTTAGAGTGCAGGAAAAGAAGAGAAACACTGATGTGTGAGAGACACATGGATTGGCTGCCTCTTGCACACCCCCAGCTGGGGATCTGGACCACAACCTGGGCAACCTTGGATCACAGGCTAGCACTCAGTCCATTGTGCCACACCAACCAGCTATTTATTTTAATGCTAGAAAGTATAAGTAGCATGTCAAAACTTTTTAGGCAATATAAGTAAAAGTATAAATAAAATATAAATTAGCCAAAAGAAACACATTAAGAAATAATAGTGTAACTCAAATGTAGGTAAAGTAAAACCACACTGGTGGGTTTTGTCCTAGGGTGCTGCTATCCTAGCTACTCAAATACTTCCTACACTCTCGGTCATTGTTTTTCAGGGTGTCTAAACACTCTGAATGCAGGCTTTTCACTTTTATGTTGGTGTGTGGATAGATTGAGTCTGGCCTTCCTGGGAAATGTAAATAGTGAGCATGGAAAGAATGTACTCTCGTTGGGTCCAAAAGGAGATTTTGTATGTGGCCTAGGGATCTTTGAGCTGAACTGTATGTTCTGTAGGGTCCCCTTGGGTTTGGCCATTTCAGGGCAGTTCTGGGCAAGCCCTGCAGATAGGGAGAGAGAAAACACAGCTCTCACCCAAGAAGGGGCTTTTCTGCTGGGGAGGAGATGGCCTGAGGAGGCCCACCACACTCCGTATTCGCAGGCAGTAACTTTGGTTGGCATACATTCATTTATTCCACAAATACCGGGGAGTGGGGTGCATAGATTTTTAAGTTGGCGCCCCAACTGCAGGGAGTGGTTGGGCATTGGCCATAGTAGGGGAACCAACCTTGTGAAAATGGCTACTGATGTGGGCTCCTTCGCCTGCCCTAAAATGTCTCCACTGCATACACTCCGCCAGGAAGAGCTGATGCTGGCCACAGACCCTTCCACTGCGGTGCGTTGAACGGTGGGGCTCTGCCAGGCAAATGGGAGAGGAGGGATTCAGGGGCTGCAGACCAGGAGGAAAGGCTCGCTGCCACCCACCCCAGGCAGCGAAGACTCCAGGTCTCCGGTGAAGGGGCCCAGCAAAGCTCAGCTTGCACACCGCTGTGCTGTTTCCACCCCACAGGCACCCAGCCACTCTTCCTCTGTAGGTCCCGCTTTGTCCGAGGGACGCCACAAGGGGGTCATAACCAGGAGAGTGATTCACCACTACTTTGTAATCGGCCTTCAGCTGCAGACGCCCAAGTCCTGCAGCCTGGGAATCCGTTCCTGCTGGCTTTGGGGCACCACACGCGGGGCGGGGAGCACTGGCGAGGAGTTACGCGTCCCCTACCCCGTCCCCGTCTCCATCCCCGGTGCGGGGTGGGGTGGGGAGAACGCCTCTGCAGGTCCTCTCTGCGCCTTGAACCTCCGCTTTCCTCCCGCGCCAGGCCTGACGCAAACAACACCCCCAACGCAGAGCACCATGTGTAGTTTTTCTACCCGGCTCTGTGGCGAGCCAGGCCCCCGTACGTGCATCTGGAAAGCGAAGATTTCCCTGGGGCTCGGGTGGGGATGGCGTGGGCTTACTTCATATAAACCACACCCATGATGCCAGACCCGTTCTGGGGGATTTGCAGGTTCCTCTCTCGCCCCCGAGAGAGCCTTCGTGCTTTAAATACCGTGCTCCAATTAGGAAAAAAAATAAATAAATAAAAAATCCAAGTGGAACACATTTGGAGAGAGGAATGGAAAGACGGCATTTTAATTCCGGTCCGCCCTTATCGCTGGACTTTGATGTAACTTGTATTTGGCCTCAGTTTCCGCATCTGTAAAATGGGAAGAAGGCCCATGTCCAAGGGACTGGGGTTGTAGGCAGAAGGCGTAGGTGCACGGGTGGTCAGTGCTCCCGGAGTCTCGCTTCCCCGACGACGGGGCTGCGATGGGGCGTACAACCCCAAGACCGTGTGTGAACCCCTGCTCTGCGTCCTGGACGGAGGAGCGAGCGCTCGGAGGCGCGCACAGGCTGGGCCGGGGAGGGCCTGGGGAGACGCCCTTTCGGCTTGGGCCAATCAGCGCCCGTCTCTGAACGGCCAATAAAGAGGTGCCTTACAGCCCAGGCCCGATCGGGAGCGAGGCTGCGGTGAGTGCGGCGCTGACAGAGACGCGCGCGCGCGCGCGCGCGAGCTAGTCCGGACCCCTGGCCACTGCCGCCATCACCGCCGCCCGCCCAGTCGCCCCCTCAGCCACTTCCCCTCGCCATGGAGGCGAGGCCGCCGCCGCCGTTGCGGGGCTGCGAGCCACGGACCAGGCGGCGGCCCTGAGGGCGTGTGGCGGGCCGAGACGCCGCGGAGGAGCCGAGGCGGAGCCGCCGTCTTCGTCCCCAGCGGTCCCGCCCAGAGCCGGACTCAGTGAGTGTTCGCGGCCGCAGCCTCTCCGAGGGGCTTCGGAAGTGGGGGGTGGGTGGCTCCCGGCGCGAGTGGAAGGGGTCCGTGGCTGGAGCCCCAGTCCATCTTTTCCGAGTAGAATCCTTCGGGTGTCTAGAATCCAGGAGGCTCCCACATCCTTAGGCTGTCCGGGGGCGGGGGTGGGGATCCCCGGAAACGTGCCGGACAGGGCGCCGACCCTGGTGGACTGCTCGGGAACTTTGCGCGCGTCCTCCTGGGGGCAGGCCAGGGCTGCCGTAGTTCATTCTGAAAGAAGAAACTTGGAATAGTGAGAACAGAATTTGCTCAGACCCATTTAATGGGAAGAAAGAGAACTCCCGCCATGAGAAAATTTGCTTTTGCAGAGACCAACTTTTCCTTCCCTTAAAGCCCCCCAAGGCCCCTCTCCCAGGCCCCTCTTTTTTCCGCCCACTCCCAACTGTTGAGGCGGCTTAAGAAGGGAAATAGGGTCTCAGAGCTGTCCAGAATTCAGAACGAGCCAATCGGGAATGCAGGTCCCCCCTCCTTTTTTTACTTTCTGGTAAATAAAATAAAGAACATCGTTTTTTGAAAAATTAATTCCTAATTTTATTTCGTGAAGATAAAAATAATAAAGAGCTGAGCCCAGTGTGTGTGTGTTTGAGGTCATGTTGTTTGTAAGACAGGAAAAGAATGTTCAGAACCTCCCTAGACAGGGTGAATGCCTTCAGGAGCCTTTGCCCAGGGTAGCGATTTCTGCTCTAGAACCGGTCGCATCTCCCCAGAGATCTCTTCATTGCCACCTGCTTTTGGTGAAGGCAGCCCTAGGACCAGAAGATGGTGGGTGGGAAGAGGACTGACGTGGAAGATGGGCAGCATCATTTTCCTGCCTGGCCACTCCTTCCCAAAACACAGATCTGATGCTGTCACTTGTTTACTTAAAAATTTCCTCACTCTCCTTTTCCCATGGGATGAATGAGGCCCGGAATGTCTTATCAAGTCGCAAGGCCCTTGACAGTCTTGCCTCAATTTATCCTTTTAGTTTTAATTGAATCCTTTGATTCCCCTTCCCATTATTCCCCTCCCTAGCCATTCAGAGCCACTTGTCTACCTCTTCACACGTTTAGATGCCTGTGCTTGTGTGATCTTCTTTCCTCCCCACTTTTACCTGGCTAGCTCTGTCTTTTCCTTTAAATCCCTTTTCACTAGAGAAGCTTCTTGAGGAGCTGTGTCTTGTGCACCTTTCCATTTCCCATGCTGAGAGGATTCTTCCTCCCAGTTGTCTTGTAGGCCCTATCCCATCTCTTCCCCCTTATGTATTGGCCTTGTGTACTTCCAGGTACCCACTTCCCAAAAGAATCTTTTCTGACTGTTTCTTGAAGGCCTTCTTGGAGTCCATGCCTAGGACCTTCAGTATCTCTGATTCCCCATCTCCCCGTTTCCATCCCTGCCAGCCCCTCTGCCCCCCATTAGTAGTGAGCAGGCAGGAACTGTCAGTCTCACATCCCACTAGCATCCAATCTGCTTGACTATCTCCGAAAAGCCAAAAGCCCCATGGCGTCCTTCCACCTGTGCCCTCCTGAAGTGGTCTGACTGATACGTTCACCCTAAGGCATGGTGGGATCTGGGAGGCTGTTCACTGGCACCTTTTAGCCACTTATTTACCATGTGGGCAAAATTCAAAACCAGGGAGGCCAGTCCTCTGACTTAAGTACATTCATGCGCCTTTTTGTTAGGGAAAGTCCTTGGGATACAAATTAAAAGTGAGGGGAAAAAAAAAAGTGCGAATGTCGCTGTCCAATGAAGGACAGATGGATACAAATACATACATCACAAGTGGTATGAAAGTATAATAATAACTATTTTCTTTTACTTGCCTTGTGACAAACTATGTAACAAATTTCTACAAATTATATTTGATGTGTTCAGCAGTAATATAGGGGCTTATTCCTACTTGACAAGAATAGAAACTGAGATTGTACAGTGGGCAGATAAAATCAGATTAGGGAAGAAGGGATTTGATGAGGGAACAGACAGGATTTGAATCTTGGCAGGTCTAGTTCCAGAGCGTCTGCCAGATTGTATAGAAAGCATTCCTTCCTTAGGTGGTTCAAGAAAGCTTTACTGGGAGGCGGCCTTTGGATTATGAAGGACGTGTAGCAGTTTGTGTGTGGTGGACAGAATACTGGAAAGAGGGAACAGCACAGGTGGGCTTAGAGGTGGAAGGAGCCCACTGTTGTTGGGGAGCCCCTAGAGGTTAAACGTAGTTGGACTGTATAGAGGAAAGAAGGATGGGAGATGAGATTTGAATGAGCTTGGAGGGCTGTGTGTGCTGTATTAAAGTTTGCCAGTGGAAAGCCGTTGGAGGATTTTAAAGGAGGTCAGGGACCTGGGTTGACTGGACTTTGGAAAGGTCATTTGAGGTAGTGTGGGGCCAGATGCTGTTGCCCCTGCAATTTGGGAGACAGTGGCCAGGCTCCACAGAGGCACAATCACAGCCTTTTGAAGACTCAGAGGGAGGCCTGTAGAGAATCTTGCTCAGTTTTGAGAAAAGACAGTAAATACTTATGAAAAAAAATTCCACCAGTATAACAGGGCATGTAGAGGAAAAGTAAGTCTCCCTCCTACCCTGACTTCCCCAGAGATGGCTATAGTTTCCAGTTTCTGTGGCCCTGTGTAGACACTGTTCCTTTATAAACATGTGTCTTCCTCTCCATACTCCTTCCCCAGTGGTACCATACCATCACACCTTGCTCTTCTTCACTTAACATATAGGAAATCATGCCATATTAGAATATATAGAGGCATTCACTTCTTTAATTGACATCCTTTTCCTTATTTCATTGTATGCACTATAACTTGTAACTAATCTTTGGGTTAAACAACATGGATGTTTCCAGATTTTTCTGTTACAGCGTTACAGTGAATATCTTTGTACATACAGTTTGTGCTAATGTATAAAATTACCTGGACAGTATATTTCTAAAAGTGGAATTACTGGCTCAAAGGATACATGTATATTTTTTAAGTTTTAGACATGTAATCAAATCACCACCCCCTTGAAGTGATTGTATTAACTTATGTTCTCCCCTCAAAGTGTGAACGGGACTCAAGGGATCTTCATCAGAGTATGCATCAGGATCCTTTGGGGTGCTTTTTCAGATACCCTGTGCCTACTTTTCCCTAACTCAATCTCCTCCTGCCATGTGATTCTAACATATTTCTTTCATTTTACAGAGGAAGACATTGAGGTTCAGAAAGATAAAGTGACTTGTGCAAGACAGTCAGTGTGGGTGGTGGTTTGTTTTTTAAGCAGCTCTGACATTGTATTTGCCTAGCACCTTTCATTGGAGGTGCTGAGTTGATTTGTAATCCTTGTTGCATTAGTAGTCTCCACCTTCATGTGGAAAAAAAGTGAGGTGCAGATGGAGTTTGAGGTATAAGCAGGAAACTGGCCAAATACAGAATCTTGTCTTTTACTTCTAGTTCAATAACTAATAAATGTTCTCAGATGCCAGAGCTGGAGAAATGTTTTTGTTTATAGTGAGTCTGAGAACAAAAATAGCTGTAACACTTACTTAGTAAAACTGACCAGCAAACCCACAAATAAGCCAGCATTAAAATTTGCTTTAATATATTCTCTAAAGACAATCCATTAAATGTGAAACTTTAAATTCATATCCAGTTGTGTCAGTATTCAGGCATAATTTTTTAAATAGTTGTAATCAGTGCATACAGATTTTTTAAGATAAGATTTATTTCCAGAGAGAGGGGAAGAGAGGGAGATGGAGAGGGAGAGAAACATCAACATGTGGTGCCTCTTGTGCACCCCCAAATGGGCACCTGGTCTGCAATTCAGGCATGTGACCTGACAGGGATTTGAACCTGCAACCCTTTGGTTCTCCAGCCGGCACATCCACTGAGCTACACCAGCCAGGGCTTTTTAAAAAAGGTTTTATTTATTTATTTTTAGAGAGAGGGGAAGGGAGGGAGAAAGAAATGGAGAGAAACATTCATGTGCAAGAAATACATCGATCATTTGCCTCTTGAATGCCCCCAACTGGGGACCTGGACTGCAACCCAGTCATGTGCCTTGACTGGGAATTGAACTGGCAACCTTTAGGTTTGCAGGCTGGCACTCAACCCACTGAGATACACTGGCCAGGGCATATTTTTTTGTATTCTTGCATAGCACCAACTATTTTATGTTTACTCATTTATGTATATTATTTTAAATGACAGAATAGTATTCTATACATTGATTCCTACAGTTTGTGCATTCTTTTATATTTTTTTCCTCCTTTTTACTGATATATATTGTACTTCTGAGCATCATTTCTTCAAATACTTCCTTGGAATTATTTTCTTGGACTCTTACTACTAGAGTGGGCTCCCTGACTCAGGATATGGCTTCGATACCGACTTTCTATCTGGAAAGGCTGAACTAATTAACAACACCATCAACAATTTATGTGGTCCTGTTTCCTGACAGTCCATCCAATGCTGTTACAAACAAAAACTAATATTTGATTTTATTAATTTAAAAGAAATATAATGGAACTTTGAATTGTTTAATTTACATTTCTTTAGGAAAAGAGACCAGTAGCTCTTTAGATTCTGAGATAAATATAGTGCTGTGATATATATCATATCTAAGAGTTATGGAGCTAAAACCAGCTTATTTTTTAAGAAAGGTATTATTGATGGGACAGAAATATTATGGAAATTTAGGATAAGATCATATTGGTATGAAACAAAAAACTAGATGCTGTTTGATTGAAAATACCAGACATTGTGCCATGAATTGGGGACACCCTAGAGTATCATGGATTGATGTCTGTCCTGATGACACTTACAAGGCTAATAAAACAGACAGACATTTATCACTTTATGGTAATTACACGTATAATCAAAGGGGAAGAATAGGATGCCTTGTGAGTGCCAGAGAAGTTCAGCATTAAATGACATTCATAGCTGAACATCACTTACAAAGGCCCTGAACTGGG